TTTCAGGTAGGTTTTTTTTTCGCGAGCCCGGATTCACACAGGGGAAAATTTCGTAGGGCTCGTTATCGTCCGGAGCGATTCCAGGGCGACCCGGACTCTACGGGGAATTTTGCGAGGGCCCCGTAACCAGTACAGCACAGCATACACAGCAGCCCCCACGCCCCCCGCCCCCCCCCCCCACCCCCCCCCATCCCCCCCCCAAAAAAATCGCCCTCCCTCCCACTCACCCCTCCCGCCGAAATTTTGCCCCACCTGCCAAATCGCTCTCTCTTCCTCCCCCGAGCCGAGAGTCCCCCGCCCCAAATCTCGCCCCACCTCCCTCTAATTGGTGCACGATATTGAGGGGAAGACAGTTGGCCGATATTGATGCTCTAACAGCAGCCAAACTTCTCCTCCAACCGACTACTATAAGGATCCGCCCAACCCAACCCAACCAACCAACTCATCCCCTAGCAGAAAACTCCTCGTCGTGAAGCTCACTAGCAGAAATAGGACTTAAGTTTTGCAAGCAAACCAACTGACGACTGAGTGACTACAGGTAGCTAGCTAGCCTAGTCAAGTTGATCTTAGCACGACCATGGATGACCTCGACCTAACCCTAGGTCCTGAAAAACTAACTGCTGTCACAGGGGCAGGGGATAATGCACCTATCCGTCAGGACATAAGTTTCAATCTTAACGATTCCATCGAAATCGATAGCGATGAGGAGCCACAACCAATTTCAGGGCAAGATGAGCAGCGTAGGGTGGAATCGGTCACCCTAGGACTCTACCCCGCTGGTAGTTCAGACGACCGGCCGATCCACCGACGTCCCTCGGATCCGAATGTCACCACGATTCGGAATTCATCCTACGGCTCTGGTGCTACAAGCCATCGTGGCAATAAGCAGCTGCGTTTGAACTTTGCCCCATCCGTATCCCAAAGGAAGTGCAAGGCTACCAAATCAGCACGGGAAACCTCGCCTGTTGATCCTGTTGGTGGAACCTCTCCAAGCGGCATAGAGGGGACGACTGTTGCCAAACCAGTAGGGGAAAGTTCCACGGTAGAGGAAGCTGCAAATACGACCAATCTGGTGGGAGATTCCCCAGCTGCAGAACCGGTAGTCTCAGCAGAGGAGCGTAAGCTGAAGAGCCGGTTCAATCCAAAATGGATTTCGGAATTCCCTTGGCTACGTCTGGAGCTAGACAGAACACTCACGAAATACGGCATGAAGTGTAACGTCTGCGAGAAGTGGGCTGCAGATCGACGAAACACGCCATTTGGACGGACGGGCTTAGGGGCACGAGACATTCAGCGGTCGTGCATCTTGGGCCATCATTCCAGCGACAACCATAAGGCTGCGGAGCTACAGAGAAGAGGAAAGAGGCAATAAGGCAGCAGTGGGAGGGCTTTCAGCATGCGCCCGCAAAGATTAGTCATGTGATTCTCTGCATCCGCATCGCATACTTCATTGGACGCCATGACATACCAATCAGTATGTATCCCATCTTGGCGATGTGGCTGGCGGAACTTGGATTGGCTGACATGCCGAACACAGCGAAGAGTGGGACATACTATACGACGTAAGTGCCCAATCCCATTGCATGCTAGTAGTTTGTTGATTTCTGTACACAAAGTAACATGTTGGCTTGTGATCCCTTTGCATTCCAATCCATGAACATTTTTTCAGATGGGCAGCGGGCCAATTCTTACACGCTCTAGCAATCCATCTGCACGAACAACAACATGCTCTCATCAAGGGCTGCCTATGGTTCGGTATCTTCCTTGATGAAAGCACTGACAGAGCACACGGCAAGCATCTTATTGTCTATTGCACTTTTGAGCGCAACCACCTTATCACAACAGAGTTTCTTGCCCACCTTCCGCTTGAAAAGTGTGATGCTGCTTCCCTGTATCAAGTTTTAACAGCGTACCTTGATGGAAACGGCTTGGACATGAAGAGATTGGTGGGTATAAGCACAGATGGAGCATCAGTGATGATGTGGGAGAGGAAGGGGCTAGTTAAGCGCTTGGAGAAACACTGCCCATGGCTGGTGGCATTTCATTGCATAGCTCACCGGTAAGCCATGCACCATTCCCATGCATTTGTGCTGGTTACAAGTCTTGGTTTAAGATTTCTGCCTTGTCATCTCAAGTGTCTGTAATACCACCATGACGCTCTAATTACAATCCCAATTTTCTGCCCCTCTCACCCTTTTCCCCAAACCTTACATCCAGAGAGGCGCTTGCCGCGAAGGACGCTGCATCAAAGTTGCCGGATCTGGAAGTTGTTGACTTTGTCATCAAAACCACAGCAGAGCAGCTCGGGCGGTCCAACGTGCGACGAGAAGCCTTTCTACACCTGCAGTATGCGATTCGCAAGACCGACCTAGAGGTGTTGGGGATGATCGCGATTCGGTGGTTGTCTCGGGGCGAGGCAGTCTCCCGTTTCTGTGACGTGCTGCAGATCCTACTGTGGATCTGGAAAGCCTTTACAACATTCTGAAGACCACCGATTGGTCTTCCAACTTCCCAACACTCGTGCATCTTTGGCGGGCAGTGGCAGTGCTACCACTCAGCACTGTCGAGTGTGAGAGAGGATTTTCGTGGCAAAATGTTATCAAGAGCTGGGACCGCACCGCGCTATCAGATGTTAGGTTAGCTGAGTTGATGGCAGTGAAGATGCTAGACTATGAAGTTGATTGGGACAGGGTCTATCAGATCTGGAGCACTGCCACTCCCACGCCCAGGCGCCCGGCCAGCTATGTAGGTGATGAAGTCTTGTAGTTTTTTTTTCCCCCTGGCGTAGAATGCATCGGATAATTTAGGTTTTCCATCCAAATAATTGGCTTGCTTTTAGTAGTGCTTTGCAAATCCATTGATGTAAGGAATATGAATTTTACAAAGTAGTTAAAGCGAGAGGTCAAAATAGTGAAGGCGGGTCCAACTAGAAATGGCCCAGATGTCCGTTTTTGAGACTAAGGGACAAAACTGCGATGGGGCAGAGGGTACACAATCAAGAAATGCAAGCAGGGGAAACTGGGCGAGAAGATGCAGTTACCTGATTGGTTGGCGGGGAAAATATGTCGTACGGTGGGGAAAATGGCTCGGGCAAAATCGCAAGCAGCACGCCACCTGTCGCCCAGCCCCGACTGCCTGTAAGCTGCACCAAGTGGGCCCAACTTGAATTTCAAGTTGGACCTGGGTTCACTACACCAGCAAATCTGAGGCTGGGCCCCGATTGGTCGAAATGCTAACCACGCAAATCTATGGGTATTTATCTCCTGGGTAACCATCATTCGAGGTGATGACGTCAGCAGTCACCTACGTGGCTTCACGGTAACCATCAGATTGACTTCATCATAGCGTGGTACCAATTATCCCTACATGGTACCAATTTGTACTCGGCAGATTCCCTAACTGGTAACCGTCAGTTTCAACGTTTCCAAACTGCCCCCACGTGTTTCGTACTCGCAGCAAACACCACGAACTCGAGTGTAGAGGTGTACAAAAATTCCTCAGATCACAGCACCTACTCCCTCGAGTCCCATTCTCACAGAAACAGTTCCTTCTCCCGCGTAGCATCCTAGCTTACCCTAGCCTACCAAGTCCAGCGGAGACCATGGTTCTAAACGCTACTACGAGGTAAGTACCTCGCCCTAAGAAATATTCTGATAGATCATTCATGATGGTGTGCGGCCCTGGCTTGTTAAACCATGCGTAAATTCCGGTGCGATGTTCCAGCAAAATGTGCCTTAGGCTAGTAGCAAGGCTGCTCCTTCTAGCCATGCTTGGCGCTGCCGCAAAATGCGCCAAGCACAAGTTACGAGCACTTTTGCAATTTACGAGCGTTTTCGCGTCTGCTCCTAGCCTGTGCTTGGCGCTGCCGCGAAATGCGCCAAAAATAAGCTACGAGCACTTTCGCGGCTGCTCCTAGCCCATGCTTGGCGCTGCCGCGAAATGCGCCAAGCATAGGCTACGAGCGCTTTCGCGGCTGCTCCTAGCCCGTGCTTGGCGCTGCCGCGGATTGCGTCAACCATAGGCTACGTGCACTTTCGCGGCTGCTCCCTGCCCGTGCTTGGCGCTGCCGCGAAATGCGCCAAGCATAGGCTACGTGCACTTTGGCGGCTGCTCCTAGCCCGTGCTTGGCGCTGCCGCGAAATGCGCCAAGCATAGGCTACGAGCGCTTTGGCGGCTGCTCCTAGCCCGTGTTTGGCGCTGCTGCGGATTGCGCCAACCATAGCCTACGTGCACTTTCGCGGCTGCTCCCAGCCCGTGCTTGGTGCTGCCGCGAAATGCGCTAAGCATAGGCTACGAGCACTTTCGCAGCTGCTCCTAGCCCGTGCTTGGCGCTGCCGCGGATTGCGCAATGCGTGGGCTGCATTTGTGCAGTTCTGTTGGGACAAAGACATGTATTTTGTTTAGGGATGTAATGCATTAAGCTAAATGTGAGTGTATTCCTTTGTGCTCTTTTACAGTGTGTTTCCGCAGAATGAATATGAGATCAACATTACCAAGGGGCAGATCTTTCCCAGTGTCGAGGAGGCACGAAGGCAGGTTCGGAAATACGGTCGCCAGCAAAGGTTTGAGCCACACTTTCATCGCAACAGGGCTGATTGTATTGATGTGCGCTGTCGGTCAATGAAGGGCATTCAATGGCCTGTTGATGGGGCGACACCACCAGAAAAGTTTTGCCCTTTCCGCATCTATGCTCGGGGGCCTAGGAGGGGTAAAATGGAAGTTAGGGAGCTAGAATTGGACCATGCAGATATGTGTGTCATTTGCCCTGCGAGGATCACCATTGAGGAGGTGAAGGATATTGCACGCGTGTTTGTTACGCACGGCACCATAAAACCCATGGACCTGAAAGACAAGGTCAGAGAGGTGCTTGGTGTGTCGTGTTCGTACAACACCGCACACCGTGCACTCTTGCAGTTGGCTGAAGAAGACGTACTAGGGGGAGATGTGGGGTTCCAGTATCTTGAGAGTCTGCTGGATAAATTTAAAGAGCTAAACCCCTCTTCTCATGGCTCCATGGTGAAGGAGGAGAACCGATTCTTTCGCGCTGGTATGACTTTTCCTGGAGCGCATGACGCAGTCCTGAACTGTCTCCCCTTAGTTTTTGCAGACGGCTGCCATAACAAGACGAAGTGGCGTGGCCAAACTCTGAACTTGTGCACACTAGACAGTCAGCACAACATTATCAACTTGGGGATGGCTTGGGTGGAGGGAGAGACCAAAGAAGCATGTAGCTTCATTTTTAATCTGCTGCTAGAGGTTGTGCCAGAGGTGAACTCACCAGACTTTGTTGTCATGCATGATCGTGGCAAGGGATGGGCTGCAGCTGCAAAGGAGGCTCTCCCGCTTATGAGACAAGCGATTTGCATCACACATCTGATTCGAAACTTCACCGCGAAGTTTGGTTCAGATTTGGATGGGAAAATTGTGGCGGCAGCGAGTGCCTTGACAGCAGAGGTATATTCGCAGCTGAAGGTGAAAATCGAGAAGGAGTGCCCTGGTGGAGTTGCCTTTCTGATAAAGGACGGGTTGTCTAGGAAATGGGCAACCACAGAGTTTGGGACGGCGCGTTATGGCTGCTACTCTTCCAACCCTGTCGAGTCAAGTCATGCGACACTCAAGGGCTTGCGGAGGAAGAGCCCATCCCAGGTGCTGCTGGCGGTAATTGGGAGGGAAGCGGTCTCAACATTCAAGCGGCATAGTATTTATTTGGACATGAGCGAGGAGCAGCTGCCCGACAAAATTAATCGCATTGTTCGGGAAAACGCCAAGTGTGGGATGTCATACACCGCCGAGCAGGCTGGACAGAAGATTGTGGAGCACCCTGATGGGAGGAAGACTACCCAGCAGACCTTCAAGGTGACGCGGAGGACCGGGAGGGAGACACGCAGGGTGACGACCGATGTCAACAATCCAGTGCACAGCACGTGTTCATGTGGCTACCCAAGGTAAGTTGTGGGCTTTTGCATGTTTGTGTTCTCTAATAATGGAACAAGCATCCGAATCTGCCACTAATACACCACACGCCTGTTTGGCCCATCCCTCTATAATTGCTATCCCTGTGCAGCGAATATGGGTTGCCATGTGTCCACGTATTTGCAGTTTACAGGGACGCATCAGAGAAGGCCCATAAGGTTATCACGAGGTACTACAAGGCAGGGGCACTGAAAAAGGTGTACGCCACACCGGTTGTGCCCCTTGACCCCACCGAGGTGACCCCCGATGGCATAACCCTTCCGCCATTTTATCCTAAGAAGGCCGGACGGCCGCGTGTGAAGCGCCTCCGAAGTTCTGGAGAGGTTGATGGGGAGAAAATGAGGAAGTGTGGGAAATGTGGAGAGAAGGGGCACAACATCCGTACCTGTGATTTAAGGGCAGCACAGAGAGCAGCATGGGAGGAGAAACAGACGCCCCAATGCCACGTGCAGATGCAAACCTCCACGATTGCCAGCGGTGAGGTACGTGTTTCAAAGTGTACTGCATGTGGGGGACTGCATCGTGACGGGATTAGATGCGAGGTCATATGGAGGAGAGAAAAGGAGGCTAGGAGGTGCAATGATAGGGATCAGCAAGGTCTTGGTGTGGACCATGGGAATGACGGAGATGAATGTGATAGTGAGGATTATGACAGCTCAGATGACTCCGACGATGACTGGGTCGATGAGGGGAGAGGGGGACTGCACCAGGGGGGGGGCAAGAGCATGACCTACCACAGCAAGGCAGGGATGAGGGGCAGCAGCGGCAGGTGGGGCAAGGGCACGGACGAGGGCAGGATAGGGGGCAGGGACGGGAGCAGGGGCGGGGGCAGGGACGGGGGCAGAGTAGGGGGCAGAGTAGGGGGCAGGGACGAGGGCAGGCTCGGAGGCAGGCTCGGGGACAGGCTCGGGGACAGAGTCGGGGGCAGGAACGGGGGCAGGATCACGGGCACGGATGGCAGCAGAGCGTGGGGCATGGTCGGGGGCAGGGACAGGAGGGACGGCTGCCTCAACAGCCGGGAGGGGGCCTTGAGCAGGGGCAGGTGCCATACGGGATGCAGGGACAAGAGCAGCCGCAGCAGGAGCAGGTACCAGGGCAGCAGCAGCGGCAGCAGGGACCATGGCAGCAGCAGCAGCAACAGGGACCAGGGCAGCAGCAGCAGCAGCAACAGCAGCAACAGGGACCAGGGCAGCAGCAGCAGCAGCAACAGCAGCAACAGGGACCAGGGCAGCAGCAGCAGCAGCAACAGGGACCAGGGCAGCAGCAGCAGAAGCAACAGGGACCAGGGCAGCAGCAGCAGCAGCAACAGGGACCAGGGCAGCAGCAGCGGCAGGGGGGACCAGGGCAGCAGCAGCAGCAACGGGGACCAGGGCAGCAGCAGCTGCAGCAACAGCAGCAACGGGGACCAGGGCAGCAGCAGCAGCAGCAACAGCAGCAACAGGGACCAGGGCAGCAGCAGCTGCAGCAACAGCAGCAACGGGGACCAGGGCAGCAGCAGCTGCAGCAACAGCAGCAACAGGGACCAGGGCAGCAGCAGCTGCAGGGACCAGGGCAGCAGCAGCAGCAGCAGCAGCAGCAGAGACCAGGGCAGCAGAATCCAGGGCAGCAGGGACATGGGGGACCAGGGCAGCATGGGGGCCGGCAACCAGGGCAGCGGCTGCAGCAGCAGCACAAGCAGCAGGGGAGGCAGGGGGGAGAGCAGACGCAGCACCAGCAGCAGGGGGGGCAGAGCATGGGGGAGCAGGAGCAGCAACATGATCAAGAGCCACTGACTCATCCGACCCAACAACCTGTTGGTGACTCCAGAAATGCAGATGCGGGTTGGAACCCATGTGTCCCTAGAACTACCGAGGATGTGGTTCGACATCGTCTGCGCAGACTGTCTCGTATCAATCTGCAACGTCAAATCCCAGAATTGGAGGAGGCTGATGGAGAAAGGTCGCTGAATGGGCCAACTCCTAGAAATCCACTGCAGGGGACACGTCAGCAAGGGCAACAGCATCAGCAGCAGGGACAGCCAGGGCAGCGCCAAGGTCAAGCGCGGCAGCGGCAAAGACCGCCGCAGGGGCAGCTTCAAGGCCAGGGGCAGCAGCAGGGCCAAGGGCAGCAGCAGGGGCAGCTTCAAGGCCAGGGGCAGCAGCAGGGGCAGCTTGAGGGCCAGGGGCATGGACAGCAGCAGGAGCAACAGCAATGGCAGCACCACGAACATCAACAGGGACTGCAGTGGCGGTGGCCGCAGTGGCAGCAGCAGCAGGGAAGCTTACAGCAATCCCTGGTTGGAGGGGTGGATCAGGTATATCGCGGGGTTGTTCCCCATGAGCAGGGGATGTTGTGGCAGTATCCCTGGCAGATGCCATCACATTTTGGCATGATGTATCAGCCCACGGGCGACCACAGTCCATATGTCACCAGTCAGCAACATGTGGGTCTGGGTGGTGGGGTTTCTTCAGGGATAGCTGCAACGAATAGCATCCCCACATCCAACTTGTCATCTCAGCAGCCCCAACAGCAGGGGCAGCAGCACAATTAACTTTCCTCGTTGCAATAGCAGCAGCTCGGCAGTGTGTAAGGGCATCTGCACTCACCTCTGGCACAGGGGTATGGAGACGAGCAACAGGCCCCGAAGGAATGGAGCGGGTTGTACCCAGGGAAGGCAGGAACCTAAACGGGCAGTGGAGGAGGGGGAGAAGGGGGGGAGAGGGAGATTGGGATGATGAATGACAATAATTGACATGGTGGGGGGCTTGTATCATAAGAAATGTCCTATGATAAAGACATTCGTTAGTAAGAAAACGCTCTGTAAACAAAAGACGAACCAAGAATCAAGAGTATCACTATGAAACTGCAATTGGCTGGAGGATTTTCAACGCTTGTCCCCCCTCCTGCTACTTCACCAGGAGAAGCTGAAAGGATGGTCCATGCCTCTCCTTACGACTGAATGCCATGTAGAATCCAGCCATGCCATGCCATTACACACCCGGGGGAACGTCGCAAGGGGGGCATATGAAGTGGCCTCAGTACAGACCGCGTACCGCTCGTGACCAGGGAACGTAGTGGTGACGCCGAGGTCCTGAAGACAGCCGACACCAACTATGTTCCTGGAGAACGAAGGGATGTGTAGGCCAGTAAGGGAACCCGAGGGAACCACCGGACAGGGAAGGGTAGTGTAGCTGCGAGCAACTACAGGACCAGAGGAGGGGTCCGCAAGGGCGACAGCGGCAGGCGCAGCAAGCGAAAAGAGGGCGGCGTGGTCTCGGAAGAAACACGCTGACGCACCAGAGTCTAGAGTGAAGGACAGCGACGCCGTAGTGGCCGAGGACGGAGGAGCAAGGGTAGAGCCGAGGCTAGACAAAGCAAGTTGTCCTAAGCCTGACGCAGCACGGGAGTCTGGACTACACACAGGTGCTATGCCTAAGCTAGAGAACACAGAGTAATACGATCCGGAAACACTCGAAGCGACAGCATACAGAGAATGCAAGGCAGAAACAATCTGATCCATGTCTAAGTCAAGCATAGGCACACCGTGGCGCAGCAGGCTGGGCCAGTTAGGGAGATCCGGGGTGGGACCAAAGCGGCGACGGAAGAGGTCGGTGGGGTGCGAGCGGCAGCACACCGTGCCACGCAGGGGCCCGGTCTGAAGCTGGTACTGGCAGCTCACAGCACCGAAGCTGCCGGTGGACGCCGAGCTGCGAGGGCCACCACCACGACCACCACCGCCAGGGGCTCCTGGCCACCCGGGCGGTAGGCGAGCCCACGGCTGATGCTTCTGCTGCTACGGCTGATGCTGCTGCTGCTGTGACGGCTGCTGCTACTGCGGCGGCTGCGACCGCGAGGACTGCTGCTGCTCCTAGGCACCATCACCAACCCTCTCGTCAGAACCACTGTCCCCGCCACCACCACCACCACTAGCGCCACCTCCACTTCCTCCCTTGGGGCCACGACGGCCCCTGGCGCTGGTGCTGCTGCGGGTAAGCCGCAGCTGCTGTCTCAGGTGCAAGCGCAGTCGTGGCAACTGCGGCGGAGACGTCAGCGTACGTGCACTGGGAGGGGGCACAGCCCTGAAAGATAGGGACTGCCGCAATATCGCTCGACTGAGCGATAGTGCGCTGGTGAGTCTCTATCTCAGACAGAGTAGTGACAAAGGCGGTCAGGGTGAGGTCGGCAGGGTGCTGACTAAGAAAGTGGTCGCGGCCAGTGGCTAAGCGGTCAGGCAGGCGCGTGGCGATGAGGTACAGGGTAGCGCAGAATGGTGGGGGAAAGGCAGTAAGCTGGGCGGCAGAACTAGCAGCGCGGTAGCTGGTATCTAGTGCACGGAGGTGAGTAGCGAGGTTAGCTACCGTGGGGAAAGCAAAAAGATCAGGGAAGAGCATGGGTAGGATCAAGTGGCCAGCAGAGGCGGAAGCAGGAGTGGAGTAACGCTCAACTACTGCAGCGAGAAAGTCCTTGGCGTTCGCGACAGCGGTAAAGCGCGGACGCTCAGACAGGGGGAGGGCATGGCTAATGGCAAGCTGGGCTACTGCGTCGCGAGAATCCCAGACAGCTGGAGCAAGCGCAGCAGCAGCAAAAGCCTCGCTCTCAGAAGTGGTAGGGTCAGCAGGGAGGGGATCAGGCGCAGGGGGGCGGGGAAGCAAACCATCAACATGCATAGCCAAGGAGTGCCCATCCTGGCGATGACCTGTCAGGTGCCGGCGGAGGTCGACGAGCTAGGCGGCGAAGTCGATCGCGTGCCCCGCAGCGTCCAAGCGAAGAACGGCGTCCGCCATCGCACAGTGTGATAGCGGCACAGCGGCTCAGCGGCGCAGCAACGCGATGGCTCGGCGGCGCTGCGGCTCGGGGACACGGCGGCTCGGCGGCACGGCGGCTCGGTGGCACGGCGGCTCGGCGGCACAGCAGCTCGGCGGCTCGTCGGCGCGGGTGGTTGGCGGCTCGGGGATACGGCGGCTCTGCGGCTCAGGCGACGAGGCCGGCTAGGGTGCAAGGGGCCGGCTAGGGCACAAGGGGCCGGCTAGGGCGAGTGGGGCCGGCAAGGGCGCGTGGGGCCGGCTAGGGACGCGGGGGGGGTGGTAGGAGCACGATGGGCCGTAGGGGCGCGAGGGGCCGGTAAGGGGCTCAAGGGGCCGGTGGTGGCGCGCGGGGCCGGCTAGGGGCGCAAGGGGCCGTAGGAGCGTGACGGGGCCGGTACGGGCGCGACGGGGCTGGCTAGGGGCGCGACGGGGTCGAAGGGGCGTGACAGGGCCGTAGGGGCGCGACGGGGCTAGCTAGGGGCGCGACGGGGCGGGCTAGGGGCGCGGCGGGGCTGTAGGGGCGCAACGGGGTCGTAGGGGCCCGACGGGGCCTGTCAGGGGCGCGACGGGGCCGTAGGGGCGCGACGAGGCCTGCTAGGGGCGCGACGGGGCCTGCTAGGGGCGCGACGGGGCCGTAGGGGCGTGACGGGACCGTAAGGGCGCGACAGGGCCTGCTAGGGGCGCGACGGGGCCGTAGGGGCGCGCGGGGCCAGCTAGGGGCGTGCGCGAGGGTCCGGTAGGTGGCGGCACAGGGCGGAAGCGGGTTGGTGGACCTACCTACTCGTGATACCATGTTAAGACTAGAAAGAATGATTAGAAGGAGGGAGAACAGGAGAGATATAGCGTTTGGGTTGTACCCACTAAGAACATACCCTATCTAGCCTATAATTTCTACATAACAATATAAGTTGACACATTCACTTAGACTAGCTTGATCGGGTGCCTTCTGGGATGTAGTTGCTCATGGATTTGCCAGTGAACTCCCTCGTTTGGGGAATGCCATCTCCCTGATTGTGGGCAGGGAACACTACCAGCATTTGCTCCCTGCTTAGCGCAAGATAGGGTACATATACTTCTGAAAGGCCATCTGATTGTATCCTTCTCCAGATCCTTAACCACTCTAATCCCATGGGCATCCTTCAGCCTCCAACCAAATCCCTTTTCCCCTCCCCACCTCGGCTTGCCCTCCACACATGCACTGCTGCAATGCACTCGTTCCTCACAATGATTCCCTCGCATCTCCTTCCACCCTCCCCCCAAGTGCAATCCTGTCGAGTCTGCTGGTGACATTCTGCCATAACATCCCTTTGAACCCTGTCTCTCTTCACGCCACATTCTCCTCACTCCTTCCACTCGCACCCTCCCCCTCCAGCACATACAGCCCAACACCCCTCATGCTTCACTCCTCCCTCATCACCCCCCCCCCCCCCCCCAGCCCATGCAGCGCTATCACCAGCCTAGTTTGGAGGCGTCTCAAAACATATATGGTTATTCTTCATCCCGTCCTCCCATACTCCTCCCCTTCAAGCCCATGCTGCAACACAGGAACATCCAATTTGCCATCACCAGCGTCTGCCCTACATATGCCTCCTCCCAGTCCTTTAACCATGCCAATACTGACTTCTCCCCTCACTCCTTCCTCTCATACTCCTCTCCCTCCAGTCCATACTGTTCTTTCAGCGAATCCGCCTCGCTATCAGCCGCCTCAGCCTCGCCCTTGAGGCCCTCTGCCTCCTCCCAGTCCTCCCCCTCCGCAGCGCTCTCCATCTCCCTCCGTGCCACCACCGCCACCAGTCTCAGCCGGGCACACCGCGCCACGCCCCCCTCCCTCTCCCTCTCCCGCGCCATCTCCTCCATCGTCCTCAGCTCCTCCCCCTTCCCCTCCTCCTCCCTCTCCACCCTCCGAATCTCCTCCTCACACTCCTGAAGCTGCCTCTCCGCAGTGTCCCTGTCATTGCTGTACAGCTTTGCCTCGGCTGCCAGCCTCGCAGCTTCTTTGAAGTTCCTCGCTGCAGCGGCGGCCTTCTTCTCCGCCTCCAGCTCGGGGATTCGCCTCTGAGCGGCGGCTAGTCGCTGCTGCACTGAGGAGAGCTCCACTTGTGCCTTCTGCCTTGCCACGGATAGGTCCTGTTGGATTGGTGGTGGTGAAAAGGAGCAGGCGGGGGGACATGAAGATGGGGATATAGAGATGGGGGACATGGGGAGGAAAGGCTGCACCTAAGTGGGCAAATTCGTTGGGGTCCCCCAGCGTTTTGCGTAAATTCGTAAGAGTAAATTCGCGTTTGCGAATTTACATGAAATTCGCGAAGCGCTGGGGGATTTTTTTCCGGGCAGCCCGGAAAAAAAAATGTGAATTTCCCCACTCGATTCGCAACGACTTGGTGAAGCCATCCGTGGCCTCGCCAATTTGCGATTCTAGCTTTTGAACCTCCAAACATGCTCCCAACCCCTCCCACTCTCCCAACCGCATCTAGACAACCCAACCCATCCACCACCCAACACAACGTACACAACCATATCACGCATCTCACACGCTACTCTACCAGACGTAGAGTAGATCTAGCTAATCACTCCGCGTCCTAGGTAGTAGATCTAGTAGCTTACCGCAGAGACATTAGCTTACCTCACGAGTACGAGTATGATGTTGCTGTATGTTGCTGCAGGGCTGTTGTTGCGAAGGATCCCCCCCAAACTCTAGAACATGCTATGGCCATAAACCTTGAGAAGCAATATTTATTTTGTGCTAAAACTTTCTTGCTTAAAAAGAGTTGCCCTGAAACCCCCCACGCACCCCCTGCCTGGGAACTTTTTTTTGGGCCTGCCCGGGCATTTTTTTCCTGCCCGGGCGGAACGAATTTCCCAACGAATTCAAAACCGGTCCCTGGCGTTCGGGCGAATTTACGCTGGCGTGAATTCGTCAGCGAATTTACGCGAAACGCGAATTTTCCCACTTAGGGCTGCACCTGTGTTTTGTGTCGCATCATCATATGTCATGATATGGTGGGTTGGTGGGGAAAGATGGGATTGTGGGGATGGAAAGGAGGGTGGAACGTGAAGAGGAGGGGGGAGGGAGAGGGAACCTAGGGAGATGCTAAACATGCCCATGTGTGTGACGGTGTGTGTTGTTGAGGTAATTATGCAGGAACTAAGTTGATGCAGTATTGTCAGCATGACCCATCTGTGTGCCCGCCCTCTCCGGTCCCGTCCAGCAGCACGCTCTGTCCCATCCTTGCGCCCATTCTTGTGAGCCCTCCACACCCCCTTACTCCCTAAGTGGGAAAATTCGGTGGGGTCCCCCAGCGTTTTGCGTAAATTGGTAAAAGTAAATTCGCCTTTGCGAATTTACCTGAAATTCGCGAAACGCTGGGGAATTTTTTTTGGCGCAGCCAGGACAAAAAAACGCGAATTTATTTTCGTGTTTCGCGACGACGCGGCGAAGACAAACCCCTCGCATCAAACCCCTCCGCATCTAGAAAACCAATCCCATCACGCATCGCACGCTACTCTACCCTGACCAAACCAAACCCATCTCACGCTACTCATCACGCACCACACAACTTACACAACCATATCACGCATCTCACGCTACTCTACCAGAGGTAGAGCTAACCTAATCCCCCCGCGTCTTAGCTAGTCGATCAAGTTAAAGCATAGACTCTAGCTTACCTCACGAGAATCCGAGCTGCAATGTCGAACCTCCCAGATCAGAGCGCTAGTGAGGACGCGACAGGTGATGTATCAGGTTGAAATTTGAAAAGCAATATTTATTTCGTGCTAAAACGTTCTTGCTTAAAAAGTGTTGCCTTGACACCCCCCAACGGCCCCCCTACCCGGGAACCCTTTTTTTTGCCTGCCCGGGCAATTTTTTTCTGCCCGGGCTGAACAGATTTCCCAGCGAATTTAAAATGGGGCCCTGGCATATGGGGGAATTTACGCCAGAGTAAATTCGCCAGCGAATTTACGCGGAACGCGAATTTTCCCACTTAGCTTACTCCCCCGCTTTGCCACACCTAAGCCTGCAAAAACAAATACGGTATCGAATACGGCAGGAAAAAATAGTATTTGTCGAATACTTGTGTGTTTTCGTATTTGATCGAATACCACTTCCTATTCGAATACAAATACGGTTCGAATATTGTGTTTGACGACGAATACGGAATCGAATACGAAAAGCTGGTCAGAACAGGGTTTCGAGTTTCTTCTAGGGCTTCCCACCGAAGACCGAGATAGAAATAGCCCCTCTAACTTTGATAGTCTATTACCCCCCTCCCCAATCACTTCCACTCCTGGCATATTGTCGAAGTAGCTGTGATTCTGGCAGGTTATTTGTGGAACAACATGTCATGCTCAAGAATCCTGTTTTCGTTTTTGCCCACGATTGATTGGTTTTATGGAGGCCGCAATCAGCCAATAGCGCGACCTTCAGATTTCACTGATTTCGCTTATACTGCACTGCCAATTTTGAGAGGAAAGGGGAGTCCGGGAGAGGTATGGTCGACTCACACGAATACGAATATTTTCCCGAATATCGAATATTTGAGTGTCGAATTTTCGTAACCTGCAAATACTTGAGTGTCGAATACTGTCAAATAACTTCAGGATGTCAGCTTCGTTTTGTATTTTATATTTGTCGAATACCGAATACGAATCCGAAACCAGTGATATTTGTTTGCAGGCTTAGCCACACCCCAACCAGGGCCAGGATTTGAAGGGTATTTCACCCTGATTACCCTTGCCAGTGGCTGCATTTTCAAGAATACCCTGATTTTGAAAGGGCAAAATGTTTCTGACCCTTTTAAAAAAAGTGTAGGGAATTAATTACCCTGATGTAGGCTTGAGCAACGGGTCGGGTCGGGTCGGGTAACCCGACCCGAACCCGACTTTTTGACGGGTCGGGTCAGGTTTCCCGTCGGAAGAACCCGACCCGTCGGGTTTGATTTTTACCCGTCGGGTCGGGTCAACCCGAACCCGACATGGACGGGTTCGGGTGAACCCGACATGTCGGGTTGACCCGACCCGACTTCGGGTATACATCGTCGGGTTGACCCGACCCAACCCGACCCGAAGTCGGGCCGCGGCTCGACCCGACGCAATCTGGGCGACCTGAGTTGCGCAGATATGGAAAGTCTGACGGTTTGGTCGAATTTTCGACCAGATGGTCCATTTTCCAGATCCTACTTAGGCTTCCTCCCATTTTTACCCTCCATCCAGCTCATTCCTAACACTAATCTACTCCCCACCATGCTTATTGGTATAGCTTAGGGTCTAAACAGACCCAGATCGATTTCTATTGGATCGACTCAACCAACAAAGCTCGTCGACACCACCACCAACCCAACCAATTTTCGCCAACACCCCCAACCCAACCAATTTTCGCCCAACGCCCAACCAAACCAACTTTTCGCCAACACCCCCAACCCAACCAATTTTCGCCCAACGCCCAACCAAACCAACTTTTCGCCAACACCCCCAACCCAACCAATTTTCGCCAACACCCCCAAACCAAACAATTTTCGCCAACACGCCCAAACCACCCGAATTTTCGCCAACACCCGCAACCAAACCAAAAGCTCGCCAACACCCCCAAGCCAACCAATCTTTCGCCACGCCCCCAAACCAACGAAAAAATCGTCAACACCCATTCATTCCGTCACTGGTTTTCGTCAACATCCTCCAACCTAACCAATACTTCGCCAGCGCCCAAAACCACTTGTCGAGGTTGCGGGGGGATGAGGTGGGTGGGCTAGGAGACACGAGGAGGACTACTGGATCTTGAAATTACGAAATCCAGCTGTTCCCCCCTGGGAAAAAAATAGCTTCTAGTTAGGTCGGGTCAAGTCGGGTCGGGTCGGGTCGCATCAACCCGACCCGACTGCGGGTAGGAGATGACCCGACCAGCTATGGTCGGGTCGGGTCGGCAAAATCCTAAGATCGACCCGACCTGACCCGACCCGACCCGACCCGAACCCGACCTCGGGTTAGGCAAAGTCGGGTCGGGTCGGGTCGGGTCGGGTTAATGCTCAAGCCTACCCTGATGTAGTCAGGGTGCTCAGCAAATTATCCTGACCAGTCAGGGTGCGCATGAAAACACCCTGAATCAAGAAACCCTCCAAACCCTCGAAATTCAACTAGTGTCGAATCTGCCACGCAGGCAGCCCCAACCCTTCCCAGGAATTCTGGTTTTCGACTAGTTTCGAATCTGCCACGCAGGCAGCCCCGCCCATCAACAGCCCACAACCTGGACCCAGAAATTCTGGTCCTGGGAACCTGATTCGCAGTGGTGGCAGGTGGCTGCTCCCTTCCCTACTTCTCTCTCTCTCTCTCTCTCTCTCTCTCTCTCTCTCTCTCTCTCTCTCTCTCTCTCTCTCTCTCTCTCTCTCTCTCTCTCTCTCTCTCTCTCTCTCTCTCTCTCTCTCTCTCAAGCGGTCCATGTATTGATTGAGAACGTTGTACATACTAAACAAGTGGGCAGACTTCAAACCATATCGAAGGTACGTGCATGCTGGGGATGGGCAGCCGGACTACTGGAGCTCCCCGAGGGGCTCCGCTATGGCAAAACAGTCCCCTAGGCCCATGATGGCGTCAGGGGTACCCACGGGGGGGTACTCTGCCGGGGCAGCCTCGTTGACTTTTCCGAGGTAGGCCAGGGCCTGTGCCCGCTGGAGCGTGATGGACCAGCGCTGGCGGAACTGATGCAGCAGCTTCGCCGCCTGGTAGGAGCTCGGGTCCGCGTTGAAAAGCCGCCTTGCCCCTGTGTCCGCCAGGAGCTTCAGAAAGCTGGGGACCTCGGCGCAGGGGCAGCCATAGGTCTCCACGGCCAAGGGGAAGAAGCCAACATAAGGTGCGCGGTTACGGTAGTGATCAATCTTCTTATCGGCCTGTTCCCGGGCCATATATCCCCGCCCCTTGCGTGCGTGCGGGTCCCGGGTGCTGATGGGGTCCGTGACAGTGACGTCACAGATCCAGACGGCACCGGAGTCTCTGTCGCGCATGGCTAGGTCGGCCTTATGGCCGTCCACCGGGCTGTAGGTAGTGGTCTCCTTGGTAACGATGAACCCGGCATCTCGCGCCATACGAATGCACTCATCGCGGAGTGCGTTGTGGGTGTCTGTCCGGCCATGTCCCGT